ATATATATATATATATATATATATATATATATATATATATATATATATATATATATATATATATATATATCTACATATCTCTCTTTCTCTCTCTATTTTCTTCTATCACTGTACAACTTGGTTCGTTTCATTGCTCCTCTTCACTTTATTGCGTACTACATTGAGTTTTCCTCTCACTCGAAATTTATTATCACGCGCGCAAATGAGCATAAATTGTCTACTTTTACTTAATCTACTCCTCGTTCATTCTTCGTATTATCGCTTCTTATTCGCGTGAATCACTCTTTATGTGATATTTTATTGCGAATTACTTTTCCTACGAGTTTCTCACAAAATAATGAAACGTTCAACTTGTTATTACCTTTGGAATTTGTACTCGTGTTTAATTTCACTTCTTCAACATCATTAAACCATATAATTACTACTTTATCATACAATTTCTTACGGCGAGCGCGACATATCTGAAAGGCGCAATATCTATTTGAATAGATTCTCGAGAACAGCTCTGAAAGATTATAATAACCGGCCTTTATTATTTTTAATATGTATATTTTATACAAAAAACAAATATACATGTTATTTTATTAAAAATACCGGCTTTCAGATATATTGCGATTAATAAATAATTCAAAGTTTTAATATATCTTTCTCTCAGATTTTCAAAGTTTCTTACTTTACATTACATATTCGCATATCCAACATTCTTATCATTATTGTATTTTTCACTACATCTGCACTCATGTTGAATCATCTCGATATTATGAAATTATTTTTACATCAACTCGCACTAACTTTCTAATTTCCTTCGCTTTTTTACAGTGCTTTTCACGATATTGCAATATCTTTCGAAGTATCTCTCACAAAGTTGTTGGTTTCCTCTTATAAGTATCTTCATCTGTTCATGTTTCAATTTTACTACTTTTCAGATTATTATCACGCAAATGTGACCTTAAGAGATGTATTATAATAACTGATTTTATTTTCTTTCATCCACTACAAATCATTAATATATCGTTTCACTTTGAAACTCTTTCACACTTCACAGGACGCTTTCACTTATTTATTTTATTATTCAACTAATCGTTACTTGACGGGCAAATTTATGGTGACTCGATGTATACTATATACGTTTTACGAACATTATTCAATCTCATCCCTCCGTCTATATGTTCTACAGTAATTTATATGAATATTATTTTACATCTCATTACGATGATCACATCGAATTTCGTCGGATATGCCATTTTCTTCTATTATTTTCTTACACGCATAATTGTATCGTTCAACAAATATTTATCTGTCTTTCTCTCTCTCTTAGATGATTTTTCTCAACGTCTAACACTTACTTTACAAACAGAGCGGAAAATTACTGGTGTACTTTCACAATTGCAAATGTTTCTCTTGACTGTTCAATTCACGCAAGCAATAAACGATCGTGTATTCTTCGGAATACTTATTTTACAGTCATCCCTGAGATCATCCAGTAGCTTGCTACACATTTCTAGACCGTCTTAGCTCCGGTTTGGTGCACGTTGTTCAATAACCGCGTTACATTGGCATCGTCTCTAAACTAATTAAAGACTAGCTGTATCGGCAACTATTAAAGAGTTTCTCTCTCGAACATAGTTCACCAATACCGGTCTCACTATATCTCTCCGCGTAACTCTCTTGTCACGTTTCATCTCGTCACGTCACGGTATTAATCTCTTACAACGTGCTGTTCTCGCAATATTATGTGCGTCTATTTCTTTTTCCCGTACATTACATCCTAACACACACACACACACACACACACACACACACACACACACACACGTACACGCATATATACACACGCGAATCGCATGTATGACGCAAGTATTACTTCAATTGCATCGTACGCAAAAAGCAATATTCCGTGTTTTCGATAACGAACGGTCGACGAATCACTCGGGACGAAAGAACGCTTGTCAGAGGGGAGAATCGAATAAAACTTTGATACACACACGCCAAGTTTTCAGCGGCGCGCAAACCGGGCGCAGCACCGTTGTTGTTGCGGCGCGCACGGCCAGTCGGAACACTAATTCAAGCTGCTTGTGTTATTTGATTGTTTCCAGTCTGTCGATTCTAGACGACCAATAAACAGACACGCTCACGCTTACACGCGAACACTCGGCAATAAGCAAGCGGAGATAGGTAAGCCGCGCTCGTTGCGGCCGCGCGAAATACCTGCATCCCACGTGTATACATCCACCATTTGTCGTCTCCACCTGTTAATCGTTCACGATGCTTCGTTGCATTACCCCAGTTTCGACCTATCGAAATTGACGCGTTCCACATGTTTTCTCCGGCCGCCCTCACCTCCTTCCCCCCTCCCCCATCTCCGAATTCCTGAATCCGATTTGTTGTCGTCACCGACACACTGACACGCGCATCACACTCTTATTAATTTGTTCCCATATGTGTCATATGCCTCCCTCTCGATTTTCCATGCGGGATCGAGTGCTTCTCCAAGTGGAAGAGTCCAGCGATTACGTAACACAGCTCGGTCGAATTAATCGACGAAGCTTCGAAGAGAGCGCACAAACAATACTCACGTATATTTTACACGAATCCGCAGTGTCCCTTCACTGCGAAGCACTCGACCGGTCATTCGTACATTTATGTCTCTTTACTCGTTTTACCGTGTCTTTGTTACCGTGATCCGTCATGCGACTCCTCCGAGCGATGGAACGTTGTTTGAGATTCCTTCCTACTCTCTTCGCGACGAATACGAATTGTCGAGCGACGCGTGTCGCGATCGGCGCACCTCGACGGTGAGAGACCGTGTCTTCGCCGACACCTTTGTACAACACATTATCTATTTGCTCCCTAACACCACCGCCTAGAAGTAACGTTCGGTTATTTAGCGTTATATTTCTTATCGTTACCGCCACGATATTGTTTTTTGTGAATGTAATCGTTGTGTTACAACATTCTCTCTCCCCCATTCTTTCCTTGCTGCCGGACCCGAAGGAGGAGAAAAGGTGACGAGTTTCGGAGCACCTAAATCCACGATTGCTATATTCACTGATCAAAGTCGAAAGAAGTACAAAAAGTCACGCAAAAAGAAACGAGATCTATGAGAACGGAACGAAATTTTGTGTTCGAGCTAAAGATTAGAGAAAAGAAAAAAAAAAGAAAAGAGAATAACTAAGATACATATATAGACAGAGATATAATAAGATTCGTTTTTTCCAAGTTCTTATAAAGAGAGAAAAATTAAGATCCACTCACTGCCGACGCCTACCCACCCACAACCCACGTCACGCCCGACCACTCGTGCACCGGAATGCGCATGCCGCATGCCTTCCCTGCCTGCATCCGTTATTCGTTATTATACGTATACAAGTAATTGATTATATATTGATATAATTATCTTGCCAGTTAACTCGAACATTGGCCTTACGTTACCTTGTTATCTAGAGATTTTTTTTTAACTTTTTTGTTTGTTAACGTTGCGTGTCTTTTGCGTCGTGTTGCACGTATTTGCTGTATCATGGCGGTCGATGGATCGCGTCGGAGGAAGAGAATAATTTCTAAAAAGAGGATCTACCCTCGCAAAATAATTTGAACAAACTGAAGCACGCGCGAGAGCGCTTATGTAAAAAAAAAGCGAACTCTCGCAAAGAAAAGTCCGCGCACAGTATGAGCGAGTACCGACAATTCTCAACTTTGACGAATCAGCAGACAGACCGGTATATCCGTTGAAGCAATGCAGACAAAATTTTCATTACTTTGACACGATATCACATGCGATGTTCACCTATATTCGCTTTCGTGCCGTCCAACGCACACTTTGATCGGCGATGCAACGCGAGCTACTACGGTTCGAATGAGAAATTTCGGTACTCCCGCTGGATCGCGGCACGGACCCGGCGTGCGGGTCCAACGCCGTAACTTTCTCCGACGAGCTCGATCGGACCGCAGCCACTGACCGCCACCGCCGTGATCGCTCTAACGCTCCTTCTGTCCTACTCGTAGACCTAGAAAAAGCCGAGTACCAGGTTTAAGCCTCCTGCGGGAGATCCTCAGCCCGGATACCCCGGACTCGTGCCGCGGTCGTCCGCTGGGTAAGATCTCCCGAGCGGCCGACGGCCGTTTCGTCGTGGCGGACTCGGTCCTCAGTTCGGCCAACAACAGCATCTTGGACGCGTCCAGCAGCGATGACGGTGGTTTCCTGCCAAAGCAACGGCTCAAGTCCTCGTGGCGGCGGCCGTTGGTCGGCACCAGCCAGCTCAGCTTGAGATCCGACGGTAGCGGCGTGTCCATCGGCCCATTGCCGTCGAGTCATCATCACGGTGCCGTCAACTCCCTCGCGAGGATACCACCCACCGTCTGCACCATCTCGTCGCCCAGGTTCCTGGCTAGCTCGCCGAGCGGAGCCCAAGTCCCCTGGACTCCCCTGTACTTCAGCGATCTCAGCTCCGTCAAGCAGCCATCCTCTGGCGAACGTTCTTTCCCGACGCCACCCGGCTATCTTCAGCTACGAAGCGTGCACCAGCGGTACAGCCAAGAGCTACCGTCGCTCAAGGCGATCCACGCCGAGTCCAGGCGATTCGTGCCGGTTCAGCCGCTGGCTACGTCCTCGCCGCCGCAACCAGCTGGACGACCCAGAGCGAGACTGCCGCCGAGGCACGCTCGGCACGCCAGATCGGCGCCAGAGCTCGCGGCATCGCCTGATCTGGAGACTTCACCCGAGAGCAGGTCGAGCAGCTCCGGTTTCGGCAGCAAGAACACCTCGCAGCAGAACCAAAGCTCGAGGAGCGGCAGTACCGTCGCCGAATGGCGCCCACCACCCTACAGGCCACCCCCGCCGCCCTTAGTGGGCCGTTGGCTCGAGCTCCAGGATCCAACCAAGGTGGCTCACACGCACATACAGAACGCCGTGGACGCCGGTAGCGTCGACGGCCACTACGAGTTCGATCCGGTGTCGTGCACGCCGACACCCACGTCGGCCTCTACGCCCACGAGAGAGGAGAGGCCGCCAGTGCATCAGATCCACACCATCCACGTTCCCCACATTCATCAAGTGCATACGGTGCACCATCAAGCGCCGAGGTACAGCAGGGACAACATAGAGGCTAGGGTACAGGCAATGAAGGCGGAGTTCCATCAGTTCCGGCAGAGACAGGCGAGGAGGAGGCAGAGCGCGCATTTGGAAAGCGCGTGTTGAAGCGACTCAATAGTGCCCCAGGCAGACTCGACAACGGTTCGGATATGTTAATGCCGCGCGAACGAACGAGGCTGTCGACTCGGAGAACGATTCGAAGGCGCCGTCCTTGCAGCCGCGTCAACTTCGAAGGTCGAGTACGCGACCAAGAGGAGGAAGAAGACACGAAGAGGTTAGCTCAGCTCTCGGGATGGTGTAGTGGATAGTAGTGACAGAGCAGCAGCAGCAACTCCGTGCTACGAAGACGGATAAAATGTGATAAAACAACACGATCTACGGTGTGAGAGAGAAAGAGAAGTGAGACCAGGATATACGAGAGACCGAGAGCAACACTCAAAGAGTACCGACGACAGAAGGGGGAACCTAGATATCGCTCGTGTGACTAGATTTTGGTACTGGCTTTTATCTATTATATATAGAAGACCGCGCGTATCAACACGACGAAGACTACGACGATGACGACGGTGACCTACGACTTGGACTACACGACTACGACTGTGACTGCTACGACAACAGCAATGACGACGACGACGACGACGATGACGACGCGATCATCACTGAAGACCAACCGCCGCAGCACAACGAGGATCATCATCATACGTGAAATCCACATTAGAGGAGTTTAAGTCAATTCTAGTAGCTGGACATCCATCTACAAAAGAAGGCTGTTATAAGCATCAGCTCAGGATACATAAGTTTCGCACGACCATGACGGGAGCGACGTAGTAGAGCCGTACGTTAAGACGATAATCCTACGGGGATCCCGCCCGTTACCGATTAAGAGAGGACCGTCGATTGTCCTTCGGGGGAAAGCAATCTCGATATCATTTACCCGGGGGGCGAACTCTATATACCCAGCGACGCTCAGCGACACCGATCGCGCTGGGACGATTAAAATAGAAACGAAGTGCGTAAACGAAAACATTCGAATCCGATTATTATTGGTCATATCTCGCGTACACCAACCGCGCCTACGTCCGGTTTAGAGGACCGTGATTTTTAACGTTATTATATATAATAATGTAGAGAGGAATATACCGAAGAGAGTTCTCACGCGAGGAGACACGAATATTAAAAAAAAATAAATAAATAAAGAAAACAAATAAAAAAGGGGAAGGACATTTTTTTTAACTCAGTGGAAATGTCCCAGGGGATAGGAAGTGCGCAGAGAGAAGAGAGAAACACTCCCGGCCGGCTCAAAGGGATGCTAACGATTGTAAAACGATGTCGTCTCGCGTCGCGACCGGGACGAGCAGAACGGAGGGGTGAAAGGACGGGAGGGCAGAGATAGGGAGAGGAAGGATAGATACGTCGGCATGATACTCCAAAGAAACTGTACCACTGTACATGCTCCGTATACCTTTTAAACGAAATGTAAGATTAAACTTAATCTCGTACACTGTAAGTAATAATTAAAAACGAAAGAAAAACAAAAAAAGTAAGATATTCGAAAAGAATTACTACACACACACACACACACACACACACACACACACACTCATTCACTCATATACACTCGAACACGAAACACACTCGGACACAACAAACACATACACACACACATACACACGAGATAAAAAAAAGTAATTATATCGATGAGCAATGGACTCGAAACGTGATATTAGGCCGAAGCTTGCCTCGAGATTGCTTAAGGACTCACTCGTACTGCACTGCCTGTTTAGGGTTTCGCTAGCGACCCAACATATTATCGGCACAATAATTTTTCTTAAGCAACGTAAAACGAGAATAAGAGTAACAAGTTCTTTGAATTTACGCGCACTCGGCCGATACCGTGCGTACGATCGCGCGCCTGCACGCTCGCCGTATGCGCTGTCACGTCATTGACAGCGCGCACGGTTGTCGTCACGTCAGAGTCACTCCGGTCGGAGACTACCGGTCGCTCTTTTCGACGATACGATCGTCGACGTGAACGCACTCGACGACGAACAACGTCGAGTCGGACTTTGAAAAAACAGGCGAAAACGAAATTAAAAATAAAACGAAGTATAGAAACATGGGGGAAGCATCACACACATACACACACACACATACACACATGCATACACACAAACACGCATATACATACATACGTGCGAAGATGAAAAATCGTTCTCTCAACGAACTGCCAATAAAACGAGATTTGACCGCGCGCGCGCGCGCGCGATTCCACTTCGCGTACGAATCGTCGATGGGCATAAATAGGGGTAAAATTCGAGCGATCGAGCGGAAAAGGGCGGCCGATAGAAGTACACGCGGCCATCACGCCGGAAGGAGCGTACGCGCGCGCACACACACGCGCCCATCACGCCGGAGTTCGTGTGTATTAGGGAGAAAAGGAATTATAAATACGCAAGCGTGCACATATACACACAATCGACACACACATACACACACAGACACAAACACGCAGCGAAAAGTCACACGTAAATACAGATACACAGTCACACGCGACAAAGAGAACACAGGTACACCCCTCACACACGACATACAACAAATACAAAACACACATGCGTACACGATACGAGAGATAGGCGTTCTTCAAGACCCACCTAATTCTCACCAAACGCATCAAATCATCTCGAATCGCGGAAGTCGGGGGCCGGCGATCGCCGATCGCGGGGGTTTTCGGGCGAATCTACGGGCTAATCAGTGTGTCGAGCTGCACGACCTAACGCGAGAACGTGTTCCTCTCGTTCGAGGACGTCTCCGACGAGCGAGGAGGACCGACGGCGCGCTCGTTCCTCTTACTCTTTTTTTCTAATTTTCTGTACACGCGCGACCGAGAAGGCCCCCACGTGGAGTCGCGATCGGCGCGGCCCGCGACTCCCGGGCGTTTTACTTTCTTTATAGTACAAACACTTATTTATACGCGTACGTATTATACATACTTATTATAAATATTAGCAAGGGCCCTACTCACGATTCAACTATACTTCGACGAATGCCGTAATGCCGAGAGGAAGAGCAGATTGTGAGAGAGAAAAAGAGAGAAAGAGAGAGAGAGAGAGAGAGCGCAAGGAGAGAAAGATACGCGGCGTAAACGCCGTCGAAACGGGACGTTGTGTTGTTATAATTTCGTTAAAACGTGCGTATGTGCGTGTACATGCGCTTGCGTGTGTGTCTGTTCGCCAATCTGTCTGCGTGCGTGCGTGCGTGCGAGGTACGAAAGGAGGAGATGAATGAAGTGGCGAGAATGTGCAAATGAAGTGAGAATGAGAGAGAACGTTATGTATGTGTGTGTATGTATGTGTGTGCGCGCGCGAATGCGACTGTTAAACAAAAATAAAGTGTAATGTAACACACGGTCATACGCAGAGACAACAAGAGAATAAAAATAAAAAAGAAGGAGAAAAAGAGAATACGATAAAAGTTAAGAGATAACGGAGGTGACGCGAAAGAGTACCAATATTCTAAAGTAATTCTAATGGTTGAATTAATAATTTGATAATTAATTGATATTGTAAATCGTAAACGACGTAGCGTGTAGCGTATTAATCAACGAGAGCGATAAACGCGGCGTGTTAATTAATTAATTAATTATTATATCCGCGAAAATCACACGCGATGGGAGACGCATACGAGAAACGGGGGAGGAGGTGCGAATGAAAGGACTTGCGCGCGTTTAACGGTAAACCGACTGCTGTCTCATCGCGCTGGGATCGCGAGAAATTGTTCAAATGCGTAATTATAAACAACAAATGCACTACGGATGCACGAGATGTAACGGTGGAAAGAAAAGAAACGCTTCCGACAACGTGACGGGAAACACGTGATCGTGCTCCATGATCTTATTACGAAGAGTCTGAGTCTCAGGACGAGTCGACGTCATCTGGTTCCCTTCGACAGACACCCTCTCCCCCATCCGCGAATGGATGAATGTGAGAGAAGAAATCGTGGACGCGAGAGGAGGTGATCCAACCAACCGATATAGTTGTATAAGTAACGTGTAGATATATCATAGTTAGATACAACGATCTCAAAAAGGTCACGCTGTGTGGACGTTCGTGATAAATGTGCGGGAATGAAAGCGTAAGGAAGAATGAGAGAGAGCAAGAGAGAGAGAGAGAAAGAATGGAGAGAGGAGAGAGGGAAAACGAATCGTCTACACACACAATGCGGTCGTAGTTACGTTTCAAATTTGTAGCATTAGTTTGTGAATCGATCATGTATTTATCTTTGTTCAAAATGTTCGTGAAAAATGAAAAGTTTCATTGACGAATTCCACAAAACTCTTCATTTTTCACAAGTTTATGAGAAGGAAATAGATACACGCTCGAATTTAGTAACACAGATTAGTGCTACGACTTTGAAACGTAACTATGACCGCATTGCAGGTAACTTTTAAACGTGCGAGGAAGAGAATCTTCCTCGAGACGATTCTGCGTGTTATCTTCGAGTCTATCATACAGCACGGAAAAAGGCTCATATGTATGCGAAGGTGAATACGTCCGTGTAACGAGTCCAAGGATTTGAATATAGAATTATGAGAAAGAGAGAACGAGAGAATCACACTGTGGCTGCGAGAGAAGGAGGGAGGGAGGGAGGGAGGGAGGGAGAGAGAAAGAAGCAAAAAGAAACAATTGAATAAACGAGAGAAAGAGTGAGAGTGAGAGAAATGGCGTATTGCTTGACGGCGTGTTTATGGATGATATGGTTGAATCGTGAATCCGTTCGTGTAAAGTTCGTCGTCACACGTCGCGACAATTTCGTTCGACCTGAGTTCCTTCTTCGTGACCCCGTGCGATTTATGTTTGTCGCGAATGTCGTCGGTGTCGCGCCCCTTTGCGTCTCTTTCGCAAAGGCACTCGTCGTTGTATCCTCGGCGCGTTATATCCAGCGCGAGACCGCCGTTCGCGGGATTAATTAATTTTAAGCGTTCTGTTCTCGTTACGTACCTGAAAGCCAGTCGGCGCGACACTTCGCACGAAAAATCGCAAGCGAAATTCTCTGGGCCCTCGAAGCAGTACGTTCACACGACAGGGGGAGAGAGGGAGGGAGAAAGGGGAACGGGGAGAACGTCGGCGAGAATTTGACATCGCGCGAGAATAACGCGGCCGCAGCTCCATACTTGCGTAATTATCGACGGATGGATAATTTATGTGTATAAACCGGTGAATAATTATAAATAAATACGTCACGCGCGCGACACGCGAGAGATCATATGTACGAGAAGATAAAGGGAGATATTCGCGATGATGTGTCGTACGTACTGTTGCGCTAAAAAAGAATTGTGTAAAAAGTTTATTATGTGTAAGCCGCGCGCGTAATTAAATTGCGAACTCGTTCTGATCGTTGTGAAGCATCGGGCATACTTCAGCACACCCGCGGTGTGATAAATATTCGAATTATCCAGTTACAACATTCCAACTGCGAAAGAGCTCAACGACGACACTGCTTCGAGGTTCTCCGCGCAACGCGCGCGAAATGATAATTTGACGTGACACATGCCAGTTGTACTTGGCAACGACTAGCGACACGGTCGGTCGCATGAAATTGTGCCGCTCGTTCGACGCATTTTAGTCAAATCCAATGGCTCTCGGGTACTGAATTTCGCTTGGATCTGCGACCACCTGTTTACGTAAGCCTCGACTCGTTTGGGATCTCTCGCGACATAAAATATTCTTTTTTTTCTCTTTTCGCGTTAAACGAGAGACACAGAGAGGTATCTTCTGTGACGTATTCAAGGGTGCGTCGCAGTTCCAAGCGCGGCAATTCGAGTGCTATCATCCGTACACTGGCGATGCTCTATTTGTAACGACATCTGTTGCGCCGAATTGAATTCGCGAAATGAAAACAAAAAGGAAACAAAAAAAAGAGACACAGAAGAAGGAAAAGATATTGTGAATAATATCCTTTAATTCTCTTTCTACTGACGTTTGCTTTTTCTGTTGAGTCGTCGGGGTATACTTCCACACTTGTAATCGTTAGCTTTCTCACGTCCTACATCGAATCGCTTCTATACATACATGTAATGTTCTTCTGTACCGTCTGTCTTCACTTCCGCTTATTCTCGACTATATCCGCCGTCGAACCTGTACACGGTGCGTTTTCGAACCGTTTTTCGTTGTCACTTTCGCGAAGCGAATGCTCGTTGTTCACCTCCATACCCAGTTTGATTGAATTGATCTATGCTTTCTCGCGAACCCCCCACGAGAACTCCAAATCGTACTAACTTAGGACAAATTGTAGACAATTTATTATTAAATAAAATGAAAAATAAATCGACATTTGAAACGAAACACGGGGAACGTTCCCAGGACAACTGCGTCACGTTAATCTACCCACTGCAAACACGCTCAACACACTATACTGCTGCCTCCCAACATTCAGAGAGCGACTTTTGAAAGTTGGAAAATTATTGTAAAGATTCTGAGAAAATTACTGAGGAAGCAGAAGAACATTCACCCAAATTGTATTCTAGGCGATAGTACTGAACGAGATACGCACACTCGACTCCATTTTCGGAGATTTGAAAACTCGAAAATTATGTTAAATTCATTAAGAACGTTACTGAGAGAACAGAAAAACGTTCTGCCAAAGTATGCTCCTGGCAATAGTACTTTACGAGCTACGCAACCTGGACAAGCAGGTCCGCTTCAAGCGTATACACATCTTTATCGCTCGCGTCGCAACCTAACTAGAGAACTTCGAGTGCTAATGTGCGAATACAAAACCACCCACGAGTTACAGGAACGAAAATCCCTTTACAGGAGTTGAATCGCGCGCACTGATTTCAAATTATTTATGTGATCTCCTTCTTTTCGTACTCGTCGAGAAAGCACGTGAAAGATCAGATATTTCCTGTTTCGTTCCGCTTTTGAAGATACGGTTGATTCACGCGCAAGGTTATCGAACGATTTAATATCATGCTGATGCTTTCTCTAAATTGGTTCTAATCGCAATCACGCTTCGATTGAGCGTCTGCAAAAGCCGACGAGTCACTGAGACTAATTGAAAATACTGAAACTTTGCGTTGATAGCCTCTTATTACTCTTGCGAGAGACATACTTAAGAATATTCCACAATCAGTTTCCCGCGAACAAGGAACCGAACCTCGCGAAATGAAACGTTACCATCGGCAAGATTCTGACAACGTTTCGCTAATGTATTTTTGAGGAGCGCAAATATTTAATTTTTTAATAGTATCTAGGTATCTTTAATTAATCGTCGGTGTAATCGATATCACGTCATCAATAAGATCGATATTATCGATAACGGAGACATAAATTATAAATAATGCGATATTTCAGACATTTTTCATATATATAGAGAGAAATCAGTGTCCGTATATAAATCAGATATAAAAACAGACAAAGCATCAGTATATATATAATGATACATATGTACATTGTAAAAACTGATATATTAAATTTAATACATTTCATATGTCCCAAATCATCCACTCTCATTTATGTGTAAATTTAACACAAAACAAATGTGTTGAAAAGTAACTAACGTATAATATGGAAAAAATTAACACAAGAATTTAACACCGTTGAATACCGTTAGGAATCACAGGTTGCGTTAAACTGATATATTTAATACGTCAGACATTATTATGTCAATTTAATATTTTTATTTAATCAAAACCATAGATTAATACTTCTCTCAAATGTAACGTTACGTTAAGGTAACGTTTCATTTTAGTTAATTTAACATTATACATATGTCAATTTAACACAAACTGTGATTTTTGACGGTATTCAAGTGTTAAATTCTTGTATTAATTTTTTACATATTATGCGTATTACTTTTTATCACATTTGTTTTGTGTTAAATTTACACATAAATGAGAGTGAATGTTTTGAGACACATGAAATGTTAAACTTAACATATCAGTTTTTACAGTGTACAGAGTTTAAACATTAGATTTGTACAGAAAATAACGACTCAAAAATCAATGCGATTTACATCTAAACACAGCATGCACTGCGTAGTGATATTGTCGCTACATGAGCGTTCATAATTGCACGCTCACCATTTTGCGTTGATATCTCTCGATGTTCAGCAGTCGTCCAGGTCCGTCGATGAGACCCACAGCTGCTCCCAGCTGTCACCCAGCATCTGTCTATCCTTCCATGTAATGTCCTGCCGTCGTCTCCTCATTTCCTCTTCATTGCACACTTTAGTCGCGAGCGCGATTATTTAAACGACGTTTAGTGATTTAACGACACATAGGCGATAAATTCGGATGTTTTGGAAATATATTCGAGCGAATCACCAATCGTGTGTAAACCATCGCGAATCAAAGACCATGACGCTTTCGACGAGAAAATCGAGAAAAGAAAAAGAGACGGCGCGAACATTAATGATCCGTTAATAGGAGAGGTTCTCGTTGCCGAAAAGATCTGACTTTAAAAATAAATGATAAATACCGAATTTAAGAATAAAGTTATCGAATTTATTCGTGACAACGGCTTACGACAATATTCACTCGCGACATATATCACGTACAAAAAATTCAAAACGAGAACCATGAAATTAAAACTTATGAGTGAAATGAACGCGACGCGAATTAAAGACCGATCGCGAAATCCATCGACGCGGTATGTAGGCGAAGAATCGCACAAGTGGCGTGAAATGTTCACGTACAATGTCCTCGCAACATTTGTGCAAAGAATATTCTGTTCTGCGTCTTATTGCGCAAAAACTATTCCGCAATATTTCTGCAAAGTTAGCTTCCGAAATATCTTCAGAATACTTTGCGAATTTAATCTGCAATTCTATGCAGACCATATGTCATATGATAACTCGTAAATATCTACGATTCTTTTTTTTTTTTCTTAAGCTACGACTTTACGATTTTACGATTTGCTTGTATATTAACTTAGTTAATTTCTCTAAATGACGTGATCGCGAACTCGAACGTAAATATAAGACAATGAAAATCAGAAATTGTTCACGCTAGTAAAATATAGTCGTTAAAATTTCTTTACAACAAACAAAATTATTGACGCACAAACAAATAAAAAACTTTAACTTTATTTCACGACTATTGTTTTGGTGAAGAAATACTGATACTCGATAATGCCATGTATCACGCAGAGAACTTTGAAAAAGCAGAGAACGTGAAAAACTAGAAACAAAATCCTGACTATCGTGAAATCTGCGCGTTTACATTATACCTCGAGTAAAATGTACAAGTTTCGTCTCTATTCACAAAATTAAAACGTCAATATGCATAAAATAAATTTAGGAAAATACTATTGACCACGACAATCGCGAAATCTACTGATGCAAACGAAATAATCGCAAATTTTGCGATTGGTTGCGCAACTCTGATGCGCATTATATATTGCAAAAAACAATTTGGGGAATCACACTGTGCTAATAGACGCGTTGAATAATTATAGCTTTAACTGAATAAGAAAAAACAAGATACTTTTATAAGTGTACTTAATATATAATGAAAATATATAAAATATGTATGTAATATATAAAAATATATATAAAATATATATTGGACAATGTATAAGGTATACAAATATAAAAAATATATTAATATATAAAAATATACTAATATACTGTGAGAAGATTCCCTAATTGTTTCCATAAACACTATTTTCCATACAAAGAGACATACACAACATGCAAAATCTACAATCAAAGTAAATCGCATTAATTGGTGAGTTTTACATCATTACCATCACCAAAATGATGTATTTATCATCATCTAGTGTGAAAGATGTTCTCACTTACTGAAACACGATTGTCTCAAAGTCGGCCGCATTCTGCTTTCAATTCTGTAACAGAAAGATAATATTGTTGATTAGTTTTAATAGCCTGATTCAACAAAGAAATGCGCGTAGAGTAATCTGTTTACAATTATAATTCAACGATTTTTAAAAATTATATCTTAGTTTTTAATTGCAAAGAATTGACCAAAAAAATACAGGAAATCATCAAACCATCGAGCTGACTTTGCTTGGTCCGAACCGAATCCTTCCGTACTGCATCCATCAGAATCACAGACACCTTCGACACACATTTTCGGCTGCAAGCTCTACCAGATCTGAAATAAAAAATATTGTCCTAATTAATTATGATAATAAAGAAATTGCTTGAGTCTGAGCTCGTCGACAACAAGAACTCGGTACAGAAGTATCAATATTACGCGATTCGATCATAAATTATGTCTAAGATTATATATTTCTCTTTCATATATCTAATAAAATTAAAATACGATAATCACCCTTAAGTTTTAAAATGCTCGTACTGATCCCAGCGTGATAATTGTATTCACGAAATAACGCGATTTGTCTTACGAACATTCTAAACAATTTAACAAAGTTAAAAATTTTGCGCAACGCGATCCGACGCGTTCGCTTAGGCGACAAAGACTGTGGATGAAGACTGTAGAGGAGCGCGACGCGTGCCTACGTATTGTTGATTTGGAGATCGAGCAACCTTTGGCGCGCCGCGTCGTACTTTTATACACGATGTGACGCGATGTCTCACTATTTTATGTACTCACTATTATATGTACATATTCTATATTATAATATCGAATTCTATATTATGTACATATTCTATATTATAATATCGTCACATTACATTATAATATTTAATTATTTACCAAGAGACGCGACATTGCATTTATTACATTCTATGTATTATACATATATCGATTATTAAAATCTAAAAATCACGGGCGATATTAAGAAATATTAAATAAAAAATATGATAAGTCCGTGAATTTTTTTTCATCTCTGAGGTAACTCTACCTGAATCTGAACCTGCAATATTGTGTCCGTGTACGCTGAAATGTAACAGCTTCCTCGGTGTAGTTGCAAGCTCTAGCATGTCTGAAACAGCAAATTTTTTCTTAATTAGTCACAATGATAGAGAAATTGTTGAAGTTCGAGCTCGTCGAGGTAACAAGATACTCAATATAGAAGTATGAATTCGATCATCAGTACGTAATTCGATTATACTTATATTAGATTATATTTGAGGTTATATTTCTCTTTCTTGTGTAATGAAGTGTTAAAGTGTGTCAATCACTTGTAAATTTCGATATGCTCGTACTGCTCACGACGATCCTAGATAATAGTACTCGCAAAGTGATACAACTTGTCCGCGAATACCCCCGCCGTCTTTTCTTATCTTCTCCTTCCCTCTGATTGTCACCGCGTTTCTAACTCCCGATTAACGAGCCCGACGATCGCCCGATTTTATTGTTACTTGAGTGAGTCGATAGTAATAGCTAATATGAGACACCGTCCCTTATGAGACACGT